TAAATGATTGAATTTCATCCTGTTTTTTTTTGTTATTTATTTCCCCTTATAGCATATGTGTACGCTTTGGGAAACTGTTGAGGAGTGTTGGGATCAAGACGCAGAAGCACGCCTCTCGGCTGGTTGTGTAACAAAGCGGCTGACAACGCTCGCCCAACAAGCTCATGTCGATCTGGATTTTGCCGGTACTCCAGTGGTAGCATCTCGAGCCGATTTGACTTGTCCATCGCGCGACGAAGATCGCACGCACTCGACACCAAATCACAGTGAGGTCTTGGGACCGGAATGTTCTGGTCCGGTTCCGGTACGGATCCCTAAATCGTTCGGCCCTCGAAGTGTTCTTGGTCGACCCCAGCCCACACCGAATGCGATTCATCTCCCAGTCCCATCCAAATGTGCTTCAGACGCTGTGTCACTTGCCGGTCATTTGACCGTCACACTGCCAAATGGTGATTGTGATTCTCATGAACGGGACACACTCCTTCTGCACAGTCACACACCATCATGATATACACTCAGTACCCTGGGATGGGGTAAAGTATTCTCGTGTTTTCTGTTCCGTTTCTTTTCTTTTGTTCTGTTTGATCGATCGTGTATACCTTTATGCAGTCTGCACGCGCCAGTTGTATGATACATAGATACAGGATAGAACGCGTCCGTGTGCTCCTCCTTCCGGGATATATCTGACTGGTTGATTGTCCAACTATCTAGCATACATGTGTGTGTATGTGTTTGTATGTATGTACGTCGCTAATGCTTCGTGGTTTGTCAGATCAATTGTGCATGTGTCAGTCTAATCCCTTTATTTTGCTGTTCTTCACTGATGCATTTTGATGATCATCGTCATCATCTTACGATTATGTACTTTAGCCNTGCACCGATGGCTTAAAGCGACGTACGCATGCAGTGATTCTCTCTCTCTCTTTGTCCATCCCGTTGCACCCTCCCTCCCCCGATCGATCACCATCCGACATTCATCACCAGTTTGTCATTCTCTCTCTCTTGTTCCGTTCCAGTTTTTTTATCAAGCGACGAATTTTCTCATTCCGGGATTTTATTCCACGAAAATTCTGGGATTTTTTTAAGTTACTCTTTTCCATTTCGCTTACAGACACTCACATACACACACCAATTTAATTTGCGGTCGACACAATCTTTTTTGTACATACACTAACCCAATTCACCGATCTCATTTGTGAAAGACAATGCCGAGTATGAACTGATGAATTGATGACAATGCCNTCATCTTTTTAACCCCGGTTCCACTTTCCCTCGTACGTCGTATTCGGGCCAACGCTTCTGTATGTATGCTCGCGCGGGCGTTTCTGCTCGGCCACAACCAAGCGCCATCATTCCGCTTCTTGGTGACTCAGTCTCTTTTTGCATGCTATCTAATTTGAAATATACGTATTGATATAGACGTTTGCATGTAGTTGTTGATCGGTTCCCCCACAACCTCCTCATGATTGATGGCAGTTTTGTTTGTCTGTGGGTTTGTTTGCCCTTAAGCGTTTTTGTGCCTAATTCATACCATACTACTCGAAGTTAAGGAGGACCGCTGACAGCCATAATTGTCGGACTCGAAGTGGAGTAACACTGAAAACCGCGCAACGGTACTACAGCCTCGCATTGGTAAAGTGCCTTAGTGGTTGTGGTGGTGTCAGACGTAAACGTGAAGAAAGAAGAATATGAACATATATCTAACACAAAATGACTTGGAACGGCTCAATAGAATGAACATCGTAAAAAGTCTGCCTGCACCAGAAACACTGACTGGGAACAGAAGAGAGTTACTCTTACGATAGCCTTCAAAAGGCGATTGCCCTCACCTACCCAACTATCACCCCACGGGTAAAGTTCGCCAGAAGGCTAGTAAAGAATCTCCTGCATAAGCTAGCCGTTCTCTGCTCATCGCTAGTAACTTTTCCACTTAGTTGCAATATTGTGGTGAGTTACGAGAGTCGGACAAGGAGGTGTTTGTGACAGAGAATCAAAGAACGCAAACTGGCTTGGCTTAGCACTGGCTGCATGGAAACTACAAGAATCGCAATCGTTGCCCACCTCGCACAATGACGGCATCAAGTCAACACCGATAATTTTAAAATAATGTACCGAGTACTAACAATGGAATTGAACCGTGTACTAAACCACCACCAGTTAGCGATAGCGGAAACAGTCAGTGCTGGCTACCGCGAAGTATGTCGTGCCCCAGTTCATCGAACATTCCAATCTTCTCTTTACTCCACCTAGATGAGAAGTCGTGAGGCAGCCATCAAAATCGGCACACGAAAACGTAAAATTATTGGTTGTAAAAACTGATACTATGTCTCTAACAGACGAGGATTGTTTTGCAAGTTGTCGGTTGGTCCTGTGCCTTGCATAACATTCGTTGTCTCGGGTAAATTAGAAAAAAAAGCCTAATAACGGCTTTAGTAGTCCATTAGGCTGGAATTCAGGAGCAGTGGGCTCCGTACATCCTCGGAATGCAGTGCAACCATATGAAGTGTTACATTTGATCCTTCAGTCTGAATGGACAGTGGTGTACGAGCGATTTGATGTCGACATACGTGTGTGTTAGTTGACTGTGTTCATGTTTTCGGAACTTTGATTTGTCTTATGAAAGTGTACTCGTTGCACAAAGTTGTCACCAAATAGCATTGGAAGCACTTTGCACAACTGTTCCGTTCTACCTGTTCCTGACATCAGCAGCTGTGTGTACACCCACGGAATCCACTGGGATTCGAACTGGGGCATACAAGCGTTTTTTAATCGAATTTGGTAACTGGAGCACGTCAATCGTAGCTTACATATTGGTTATTTGTTGATTCTACGTTTCGAATGCATTTTTACTAGACAAAATTTCAACAAACTGTGTAGACTTCACTGTATTTTGGGATTTCTGTCATCTAAACGGTACTGAATAATGAAGATTTATGAGTCTTGGTGCTTCGTCCAGGGGAACAAAACTTATTGTCGGCTGTTGTGCGAGATGGGTGAACTCAGTGGATAGAGAGGTAGATAGGTCTGGGAGTAAAACAACTAACCCTGCATGATTCTGCCTATACTAGGTTGGATTTATTCCATTCACCATCTGAACTTTCGCGAAATTTAGGTTTGGTCGATAAGGAATTCGCTAGGCATCAAGAGTAGGTCAATGATGCATCCGGTTTCCTTCATGTCTATTTTTTGATGAAATTGTTCGCCATTAACCACTGTTGGGCACATTCCCAAGAACGTTGTTCCTTCGAGTACCTTTTTTCCCACTGGTCGCGCCTACCCTCCCCGAAAGCTTACGCAACTATTCTTCTCCATATTCAGATGACCGATTTGGATTTAGACGCCGACGATGTGATTGAAGAGGGAGTGATCGCAAACAAAACAGATGATAATCCCTCAGTTGGACACTTACGAGATGAGGCTTTGCGTCGCAAACGTCGCCTAATGCAGCTGCGACAACGAAATGCAAGGAAGGCTAATGGGACCGCAGAGGACTCAGATGATAATCACGATGTGGAATCCGAAGAACTGCCTTTGCCAAAGCCTATTTTTCGAAACTACAAGCCACAATCGGAAAATTTGAAAGACGGCGAACTTCCCAGTGCCCCCATGGTTGATCGTAAGTGCACTTTTTATCCTGCATCGCTTATGAATTCCGGCATTTATGGAGATTAATACTAGTGAAACGACCACGCACTATTTTTTTTGTCTGGTACTCCAAAAATGCGGCTTCTGTCCGAGGAATTATGTACACGGCTGGTTAGTTCTTTATTATGGGTCTATGCTACTCTCCAGGAGTGTCTTACTTCGCGATCCCCGTTCACTTTCGTTATTAGTTTTATGTCTCATTAAAATCAATGGCGCTGTGGTAGAGTAGGTCATTGGTGAAGTTGACGGGTCGCGTCTGTCCTTATCTTGTGATGTTCATCTTGTACGTCTGTAGCAGTACGGGTAATGGTTCATGAGGTTCGCTGCACTGTTTTTCGCACTACAGCCGTAGTGATATAGCTATTCTGTGTATCTGTACTGTCTTCCAATCTCGCCTCTGATTGTTGCATCAAAACGTGTACAGTGAAGCACTCAAAAAATTGTTATTCCACTTATTCGTAATCTCCTATTCTGACAGCTACATCTTTTCCCTATACTCTGTACCCCAACCCTCCCCCCTGCCCCTCGTTATTGTTATTGTTAATATTGTTATGGTGTTGGCACCAAGCTTGTTCTCAAGAGGGTGTTATATATATATATANTATATATATCATACAAACAAATCACGGTACAGTAATGTTGATAAAAAATAGAGGTCTCTGAGTTGCATGTAGGTGGAATACTACCGGATTGCCGAGGCCATGTCTGGTAAATTTTTATCTGGAATCCACAACGGGGGCTTCGACTTGCCAATGTCTGACCCGCAGGACAGCGAGGCAGTATGTGAAAACCAAAACCCATTGGGGTCGGTATCCAGTTCATCGGCTAATACGCCCTTCGGACGGGGTCAAACCTCCAAGGCGCCCAATACACCTCGTTACCACTACCACGACCACAAAGGTGTATGTGACTGTGGTTTGTACGCCTCCTCTTAGTTGATTTGGAATTAGGGTTTGTAGCCCACTTTCTTAGATAAACTGCCAGTGGTTCACCGCCTTGGTTATAACTCCGGATGTTGGCTTATCGTCTTCTTACTTTCGTGTGAAGACGCCTCCGCCACGAGAAGGCAGTGGGTAGGGAGTCCTTAGCAGATGCTGTCTGAGACGCTTAGCCACATAGGGTATTTCACGAGGTGTAATGGTAGGGTGACCAGCCACAACCCGAGATATCCACCCTCGGCCATATACTGAGGCTTTCGGAGACTCTAGAGAGAGCATTCGTCTCAGACTTCACATCCTTGCTTATATTATATGCACCAGTTGTGTATGCCTCAGGAATTAGCATGTAGCTGGTTCTTAGCGCTTCCGACCATCTAGTCGTCAAAGTTAACACGCATTCATTGCCTGGATTCACACATAAACTGTTCAAGTAAAGACTGCCTGATCGGGTCCTGTCTGTGGCCAGTTCACTCTTTCATTTTGACACGGATCCCTTGTTTTTCTGTGTTTTTACCGTTCCAGTTACAACGTTAGTCACTGAACAGCTCGAAGCGGCTACCGCACCCGTTGTCGTAGAGGAAGTGGTGAGTCCCCCCAGCGACCTCATTTGAAACCATGGTTTTGATTTCAACACAATGTTCTTCTCTGACGCCTGATCACTAGTGCATTGATTTATCTCAATTGTTGATTGATTTATATCTGCACTGGTTGTCCTTCATGGTGTTATCATGGTTTGTTACCCGTATAATAAATTAATTGTTTTTTACTTTATTTTCCTTGTAGTTCAAAAGTGTTTTCTTTTTATTTCCACCGTTTTTTGTTCTACTTTCAATTGCGGTATTATATCCACAAGTGGACTGTCGATCTCTTACGGTTAGTCACTCCGACAGTGCTTGTCGTTATGGTCATGTTTCTTCCCTTTTTATTTATCAGAAAGTTCCGTGAGACTCAAGGGTCGTCCACAGCTTTCTCCTTTACATTGGTTTATCTTAGGTGGCATTCACTGTCTCTGTTTCACTTTCACTTTAATTTTCGTTTGTCCGTGACTTATTGCAATTCCCACTAGGAGTCGAAACTCGGGATCCCCAGTCTCCGCCCTATCAAAATGCTGAAGGCTTGTCGGAAGTGGCCACTAGCTCGAGCCCTGTAATGCAGTAGTAACGGCGAACCGTGTGGACCCGCTCAGTAATAGTCCGTGTAAAATCTTTTTAAAAATTGTTCTCTTTGCTTCCCTGGTCGGTGTCATTTAACTGACTGTTATAGCTTATCAGTGTGATGCTGGTGGCCACGTCGGTCCAATTCTCTAACTGTGCTATTGCCCGGAATGATAGCACTGTTAGCATATCAAAACATCGCCTGCCCCATGCTGTCGGACTTAAAGCCCTTCCTTGATTGCAGGTTCATTNGACCTGAAGGGGCGTAAAGTTTTAGGCAGTCGCGGTCGTCCACTAGAGGAACCTCCATAGATTACGTGGGTTGAGGCATGTGTTACGCATGTCACAAAAAAGGTCCACACGGCGAATGATGTTTGCCGAGGAAGGTAGCGGTTGGAAAAAGGTCAATGGTGGTCAAACGAAGACATGGTATGAAG